ATCAACAAACATGCCCGATTAACTAACAGCAACCAATATACAAAACACTATTATTATTTTAATGTTAAACTAATTTTTTTATTATTTTATTATTTTTTTCTTGGACAGATGGCGCCACTATTGCATTTTTTTACTTTGAAATTATCTGGTTTTCCGGTGGATTTTCCTACAATTTCCAATCGTTCCAAGTATCTCCAGGCAATTACGAACAACTTAAAAACAATTTGAGCCAAATCCGTCCGGCCGTTCTCGAGTTTTAGCGAGACAAAGGAACATCAATTAATTTATATATATATAGATTGAAATTATGTTTAAATGTTTTTGATTGGGTTGTTATGAATATTTTATATAAAATAAGAGAAATCGATAAAATCGTTAAAACTTTGAAAAAACCTATTTTTAGTATTTGGGAGGGCTGGGGAAACGCCAGTGTGGAAAAACCGTTTTTCGGTTGGAAGGGATTTTCCGGAAAATTCGCGAATGGTCGTACGAATGCATACAAATTCCGTACTTAATATTCGCGAAAGAAAATTTTGAAAAAACCTATTTTTAGTATTTGGAAGGGCTGGGGAAACGCCCGGTGTGGAAAAACCGTTTTTCGGTTGGAAGGGACGTTCCGGAAATTTCGCGAATGGTCGTACGAATGCATACAAATTCCGTACTAAATATTCGCGAAAGAAAATTTTGAAAAAACCTATTTTTAGTATTTGGGAGGGCTGGGGAAACGCCCGGTGTGGAAAAACCGTTTTTCGGTTTGAAGGGATTTTCCGGAAAATTCGCGAATTGTCGTACGAATGCATACAAATTCCGTACTTAATATTCGCGAAAGAAAATTTTGAAAAAACCTATTTTTAGTATTTGGAAGGGCTGGGGAAACGCCCGGTGTGGAAAAACCGTTTTTCGGTTGGAAGGGACGTTCCGGAAATTTCGCGAATGGTCGTACGAATGCATACAAATTCCGTACTAAATATTCGCGAAAGAAAATTTTGAAAAAACCTATTTTTAGTATTTGGGAGGGCTGGGGAAACGCCAGTGTGGAAAAACCGTTTTTCGGTTGGAAGGGATTTTCTGGAAAATTCGCGAATGGTCGTACGAATGCATACAAATTCCGTACTAAATATTCGCGAAAGAAAATTTTGAAAAAACCTATTTTTAGTATTTGGGAGGGCTGGGGAAACGCCCGGTGTGGAAAAACCGTTTTTCGGTTGGAAGGGATTTTCCGGAAAATTCGCGAATGGTCGTACGAATGCATACAAATTCCGTACTTAATATTCGCGAAAGAAAATTTTGAAAAAACCTATTTTTAGTATTTGGAAGGGCTGGGGAAACGCCCGGTGTGGAAAAACCGTTTTTCGGTTGGAAGGGACGTTCCGGAAAATTCGCGAATGGTCGTACGAATGCATACAAATTCCGTACTAAATATTCGCGAAAGAAAATTTTGAAAAAACCTATTTTTAGTATTTGGGAGGGCTGGGGAAACGCCCGGTGTGGAAAAACCGTTTTTCGGTTGGAAGGGATTTTCCGGAAAATTCGCGAATGGTCGTACGAATGCATACAAATTCCGTACTAAATATTCGCGAAAGAAAATTTTGAAAAAACCTATTTTTAGTATTTGGGAGGGCTGGGGAAACGCCCGGTGTGGAAAAACCGTTTTTCGGTTGGAAGGGATTTTCCGGAAAATTCGCGAATGGTCGTACGAATGCATACAAATTCCGTACTTAATATTCGCGAAAGAAAATTTTGAAAAAACCTATTTTTAGTATTTGGGAGGGCTGGAGAAACGTTTCTACAGCCCTCCCACACTTTTTTGTTTTTTCTTTAGAAAATAAATCCGTACAAATTCTGATTTTCATCGTACAAATTCATACATATTCCATACTAATTATAAATGAAAAAAAATTTCAAAAAATCTTTTTGGGGGGGGCTGGGGAAACGTTCGTAAATTTAGCCCACTATGCAGAATATATTATATAATGACGTATTGTACGAGAACGACGATATGACTAGCGGTTTTTTGGGTTGTTTGACTTAAACGATTTCAATTCGGAAACGTCATATCCCCGGTGAATATTGTAATTTATTATAATGTGTAGCAATACTATGCAGTTGTTGTGGCGTGCAGTGTGTATGGCCGCATAATTTTGTACTTAGATTTCGACACGTTATCATGTGCGCATCGTTTTGTATGCAGAAAAAAAGGTGATAAACGCGCTCGCTGTTAGAAATCGTTTACCATCTGATTACATATGTAATGATATTTAAAGTGCGGCAACCATCCAGCACGTTAATATGTTGGATAATATTATGTAAAACGAATCGGAATCTATTAAAATTGTTACAAGTTGACCGCTGCTCGAAAAGTGTCCGGTGAGTTCAGCGACGTGTGAATAGAGCTTTTGTGACAGGCGCCGTTTAAACATCTGGCCAAGGACCAGCATAATATACTGCACCTATATATTATTATTATAATAGCATTTACGCGACACTGCAGTTTATCCGAGTTTTTTTAAACAGCATACGTGATTGAATTCTTCGTCGGACATTATAAGAAGTCATACGGTGCCGACAATCTATATAACTATACCCCGTATACGCGTAAATGTACAACAAATATTATATACTTACAATTTTTCCTAAATTTGAATCGTTGTACTATTTTCATATTTCAATTTGCATTTGAAGTAGGTATACGTTAAAAAAATTATTATTTGGAATACATACTTTGTGATTTTATATTTAAAAATACAAAAAACCTCAATTTTATTTTCATGCTTATAATTATCTATATTTAAGTCTCCACTGAAAAAGTTATTTTTCATAGACATGTTCAAGTATTTTCAAGTATATTTCAATATATTTTTACTTAAATATTTTTTCATTCAAGTCTTAAATAACTATTTTAAAACATATATTTTTAAAGTTTTTCGAAAAGCTACAGTTTTTTTATAATGATGTTTTAAATATAAAATAGTTCAAAAATTAACAATTACATATTTTATTGAATATTTATTTAAAAAATAACAATTGAATATACCTATTGTTCTATAGAAATGTATGCATACTTAAACTTATATTATGATAAGTGAATTATCGTCTCTATTATTATGTTGTACTTATAAGAATAGGCTCATTTTGACCTAACACAGATAGAAGGAGTTTTAGAAGAATATGGTTAAAAGTGAATGCGACAATGTATGCGTTTGCAAACCCAGTGATATAGTGTTGCCTGTATCCCGGAAGCAAACTATATACAGTATACACAAAGTCATATATTGTAATAGTTGAACAACTACTGAATACTTTTATCATTTACGAGCACAGTGGCGCCGATCTATATATTATATAACTAGAAAATGGGCCGATAAAACTTTTTATTCTACTAATACTCGATTTTTCAATGTAAATATTATGCTACCACGTATAAAACCGATAACCGATATTATCTTATAAAACAAACATTTTTGGCAAAAACCACCTACAGAATATAATATGTGATATTGTGATAACAAGTAGATACCAATAAGTCTATTAACCTTATCAATAAACAATTTGTGCAAAATATATATAGAGAGAGAGAAAGTAAATTGTAATAAAATATGTATATAAATAGTGTATACCAAGTGATTCACCAAACATAATCACTCCTTTATTTTCTCCCATGCAGTTATGCAAAATCCGATTTTTGAAATTTAAAAAAATATATAGGTACCTAATTAAAGATTCGCCATATTTTTAAATTCATGAGATATTTTGTCTGTGGAAATTCAAACTTCTATTTGTCGAATAAGAGCCCCCTTTTCTACTGTAACTTATTTAGCTGAAAATTTTTCTGAAATTTCTACGTATTGAAATCAAAATTCAAATGATTAGTTTTTGAGTACTTTAACTTTGTGTACTAAGGATAATAGGTTTGGATGATAAGGTAATATGACCATGGTGGTTTTAAATTGTTAACAATTAATATTAATTTAAAATTTATCATAAAATAAAAGTAGGTACTAGATCCAATACTAGATTAACAAAATTTTCAAAAAAAATGTCCACTAAATAATTTACAGTAAAATAGGGGTTTTCTAATATTAGAAAATCAGAAGTTTGTACCGTCACATGACACTATAGTTATATTATGTAGTAGGTACAGAAAATCTCAAGTATTGGAAAATATGGTAAAATTCCAAATTCCAAAAATCATAATTTGAATTAATTCATTATAAAAGGAAAAAATGGGGTTGAGCATGTTGAGTGAATCACCCCTGGGTATATGGTAAGATTTTTCGTTAATTTTATATGGTAGGTGATATATACGTGATATATACGTGGCAGAATTTTTGAAATATATCGTAGGTATATCGTATAAAAATGTTAATATATTGAATATTGATACCATAATATAATAGTGACCACTATAAGCAATTTCTAAGCACATCACAAAATCCAATCGACCCTTTAATATAATACATATAAACAAACCCGGAAGCGATCAATCCTGAACCAGTGGTGATGAGGAGGGGCATTTTATAAGACATTAAATTGTAGACTTCGTCCTGTGTTATAGTTCTTTTTAGCTTCTTACCAAAGTTATTTTTCCTTAGATATATTTCCAAAGCTATCGTTATATAGATTCCTATATTTTTAGTCTCCTAATATGTACCGCCTACGCCGCGCCGCAATTATCATTAGGTATGTTTTTTTTTACCGGTCGACATTCTCGAAATTAGTATTCTATATATAATTTCTTTTCCACGCCACACAATTATCGTAAAAGTTTATTATTTGGGTGTGTTTTTTATTTTTTTTTTATTCGATCGAAATAGATAAAAATCGTAAATCCCGACACGAATGTCCACGAAAACTCCACCACCACTACAACCACCTGAACCGCGCCTTCTCCCCGTATGTACACGGTGACCCGCCCTACACCCCGCTAGGCACTAACCCTTTGAATAATTGTATTTAATCAGCAATCTAACTTTTAAACTATATACACTGCTAATGTTGCCATGGTTATAGACAGCGATATACTGTCTGCCAACGCACTGGCGCCATCAATTCGTTTCCCCTACGTCGTCGTCGCCGGCGCCGCGTCGCCTTTTCCTAGAGAGACCACTCCCCAAGAACAACAGGCATGCGACGACCTTTTGTACTTGTTTTTAACAATCACGTCTAATAAATTGTATATCTTTATTTGGTTTCGTAAATGGAAAAGGAAAAAACTTTGTTAACGGGAAATGCCCGCCGTGCATGCGACGACCCACGGGAATTTGTAAAGTGCATTTTCGTATATTATTCGTATACACTACTTACGTATATCCCGAAGGTCCGTTTTGCCCCGCCCGTTCTCTAAATATCGACTCGGGTACATTATACGAATTATTACAATACAACAGAAGAAAATACGATGACTTTTAATAATAAAATATAATATATTATATTATAATACCGAAAGCCTCACTACCTCAGTAAATTCAACAAAAACTGTTAGGTATACAAGCAAACAAACTGTAATCGTTAACATGGGGCCTACTGCAGGGAGATTTGTCAATAATAGAAAATTAAAATATTGTTAGTTCATAGATCAACCATCATCACAATAATATAATAATATGACTTTTTAGTCGTCATAATTTATGTATTTCGCCAGTGCTGGAATTTCGTTTAGTGACAAGGCATTTATAATATTATGCATTTTGTACCGAGATCTCGACGGTCTAGGGCGGTGAGTGGAAATCGGCTCGGATAAAGCGGTTATCCGGTAAAAAATTATACTATATTATTTGCCTCTGACAATTTTTTTTTAAAATTCCACATAATAACATATTATGTATGGGTACCACCCTGCAGCTGCAAGACTGTAGGACTGTAGGACTGTAATAACAATAATGTATGCACCGAAATGCAGCGTGCGCGTTGTCCGGTGACCGCGTCAAAAAAGGGCCGATACTAATATATGAAATATTATGCGTGCGAAACACAATATACTGCATTATCATAGGTAGGTGAATTATTATATTATTGTCACACTCGATATACGATGTCGTGCGTTTTGCTCTTTTCCGTCCCCTCCCTCGCCATCACCCCCACGGTCGCACGCGCCACTGGTGCAGTACATCGGCGCCACGTTGCAGTCCGGCGGCAGATGTGACGGAGCCGCCACTGGATCTCCCATAATTGAATTTATTACAATACGTCAAAGTTTAATCGCGATCCGAATTATTACTATACGATTGCACATGGCACGCTCTCGGCTAATTTATTCGCCACGTACACGCGATTCGCTGTGCAGGCAGTCGCAACAATATATATATTATAAATTATAATAATATATGATATGGCGCATAAATACCGCATATTATTATTATACTCTCGTCGGTCGTTATTTCGCATATACGTATATCGTGATATTAAGCTAGCGCGAATTGTATAAACAATAATAATATTATGCGCCATGTACGGGTTTGAGGGCGTTGAGGAATTCGTGAGGAATGGTGTGAACATAATGTCATATAATAATATTATATTATATTGTAATATTGCAATGTGCCGGCCGATCCTTGTGCGATTGTATATTTTTTCGTTTTCGTGTTTCTGGATTTTTGTCTGCACAGCCACAATCTTTACGAATCATAATTTAATAGTTATCGAAATTGATGCCAAATTTGTTTTTTTATCATATTACGTGCATTTAATAGTTACCTATTGCGTAATATATTAACAGTTTTGACTGGATATTATACGGCAGATACTTTTAGTGCACAAAAATCCATGCTCCACGTAGATATATCATAGACCATAGTATATGATATTGAGAGTGATGGGCATCGAAACGAAATTAGAATAGGAAAAACAGAAGTGGAATTTCCTAGGCAGATATAATAATACCTAGTTATTATTGTTGTATGACAATAGTTGATTATACTTTGTGTATCGTATTTTACACAAGACACTTTTAATGATTGCCATTATTAATATTATACTTAATTTTATATTTGACAATTTGTATTGAGTATCATATATTTCATGACAGTATGACACCCACTTAGTTCTGGTTCATAAAACTGCTGAGTATATCGAGTAGGTACACTATATATTATGACTATATTATATAATAATATGATACTCGTGGCAATATCAGTAAAATTTGTAGGGCAGTCAACTTGATAATATACGCGAATGAAGATTGTTGTGCGGGGGGTAGAATTAACAACGTGTGGGTTAGGTAACTGTATAATACAAGAGGTGATTTTTGGAGTACCTACCTAGAGCTAGCGGAAGCGCCAGTGGAATATACCAAGAAAAATGTAATAGTATACAAACATATGAATAAGTAAATAACGTGTGGAATTGTAATTTCAACAAAGTGCGAAGTGGTACTAGATAGGAGGGGGAGGTGTAGGCCGTGACATGTTGATGTGGCAAAAGGAGATGATAAAATGCTGGAAAGGTCGGCGTGGAATAAACCAGGGTGTATACCTACAGGGGGGTACGAAAATTTAATACGCGAATATGCACAATGTAATATTTAAACTTAATGAAAAAAAATAATAACACATCCAACTATACATCCAATCTTATACGCAGTTACGTTGAGATTAAAAATTGAATTGGAAAATCTATATTAAGTAATCTGAACGGCTCTCGAGAGGACGCGTTACCTCCTGAGCGGATTTGTTGTTTTAGTGTAAAAACACAAGCAAACTTCTGCGGATAACTACAACAGCGATTACGAGGTAGTTATAAAGTGATTTTAAAGGAGCGACATAATTTTAAGTAGGTAAACGATATTTTGGAGATAATGGCTTACTTACCTGTTTTATTTTAAATTTCAACAAGCAGAGTAAAATATTTTTACGTAGATTAAATTTAAATTATTTTGATTAGTCTATATAAATACTAATCGTATAGGTAGGAACTGTTATAATTATTATTACTGAGCACTAAGAATTATCGACATTCGGCATAATATGCATTTTATCAAACAAATTCTTTATGACTGTTTTATTATGATTATTTTTGTGTGCTTTTTTTTTGAAACTATAGTAATAAAAAATATAGCTACAAATTATGATTAATATTATTCCGTTTGTTAAATTATTTTTATATTGATAGTAAGAGTCGCCAAGTTTAACTAAGTTATAAAAAAAACTTTTTACCTTTTCTGTACCTTTTTTTTATTCTAGGACAACTTACTTACTAAATGATTTCAAGTAAGTTGTACAATGCACCTCGATTTTCATTATTCGTATTGAACATTTCCATTGGCAGTTAAAAATGGTAATTTTTTTTATCGATGAAATATTTTTTTCTGTGGTCTCTGTTGTCGATTGACTAGTTTCGTGCAAAACGAAAATAGTTCTATCTTTTATCACACGTCATAACTGAGATATGAATGTGAATAATATTGTGAACTCAACATCGAATTAAATATTCGTGAATTTAATATTTAACAATGATTAATGAAAATAGCTGATTATATACAGTTGTTTGTGGCATTGAGCCAAAATGTAATATCGTTTTTTTATATAAATGCCGAATGACTGTACAGACATTTAAAGTAAATAGCCACGATTAGTTCACGTACATTCTGATGAAATATTTTTATATTTTAAACTTAGGTAATTTTCAACTATAGCATTAATCTACTTTAAATATGATATTTTTTCCCCACAAAAATGAAATATTTCATAAAATGCATTCTATTTAAATCTCTGTATCGTGGTCGGAGGTGACCTAGTTGTATTACGTTTGGGCATGGCAATACACGCCTTAAAAAAAAAAGTTTAGTGTAGTTAATGGGGTTGTAGCGTGAACTGAACTAAAAGGATTTTAAAAATTGTTCAAATAAAAAGACATTATTTAAATTAGTATTTAGTACGTCGTATAGGTATATAATTATGTACAGTGCAAAAATGTTTGTAATATATATAATATTGTTATAGTTTAATTGTTCCAATTAAATAATTAATATAATATGCAGTGTCTAATACCGCCGAAGACTGAGGTCACCTAGTGAGGAGATAGTATAATTCTTCAGCTGGTAGTACGAGATGACGTAAACAATTTTCGTATCAATTCAATAGGTAGAGAAAATCGATTTTTTTTTTTTTACATAAAGGTTTTCGTTTGTACGGTACTGTTTGGCCACAGAAGAGGTTCTCGATAATAAAAATAAAAAATACCGATCGCGTCACCAGTGTTTATCCCATTATGTTCCGTCTAGAACGCACTAAAACCGCAGTCTGCTGCAGTGGCGGCGGCTGCTATTCGACGAATTCGATCGTCTCGGTTAACCACCGGCGCCGCACTACAACATAATAATATATACTAAAATATATTATTTTCGACGCAATTCGTTGGGAAAAAATAAACGAAAAAAAAAAATTGAAAAATGTCTGTAACATTGTGCTGCTAAATATATAGTAAACAAAAAATAGACGCGCGTTTATAGCACAACGGCGAAAGACATGGGAGATCCTGCAGCGAGACCGAATCGCTTTTTTAATCGAATGCGTCGTCATAAAAATAATAATATAATACCATGATGATACTCGTCGTAAGGGCTACGGTATAATAATATTACCGTAGGTGTCAAGACTTGAAAAAAAATCATTTGGTGGTCTAGGTGACCCCCCCCCCTCCCTAAAGCCATCAAAACACAGTGTGCAGAGGCTTTGACCGCCACTGTAGGCTTTAATATGGCCACTTACATTCTGACCGCAGTCTGTTATTGATGGTTTAAATTCAGTTAGAAATCAGAAATCAAGGCAAATACAGTCAGAGAATTGAATCTATCCATAAAAGCAGTTCAGATGCATCTAAATAGTTTCCATCTACAATTCGAAAACATATTTACCTACCTATACGTTTTGCTCTGTACATGAGCTGTCTGTTGTTTCATCCATAATCGTATTATCCATCGATCTATTAAATTTATTTGTAAAATGAAACATTTTTTTGAAGACGAAAATTGTCAAAATTTTATCACAATTTTATGTGGTATTTTGGCGCCCCAGACAAATTTCGTTGCGCTCATAAATAATAATGATAATATAATTATTATCTTTCTCAATTTAATTTCATCACGGTATATAATATACACGCCGCTCTGCAGATCGTACCCGTACGTAATATCCACTTTGGAATAAAGTGATTAATTGAGACTTATTTTGAACCGAG